ATTACATCTGTTGACGTCGAACGATCTTTTTCGATGTATAAACTTATTTTAAGTGACAGAAGGTTGTGCTTTAAGACCGATAACATAGAAAAGCACTTAGTTGTAGCTATAAATGAGAAAATATTACATAGTAACAATGCTTAAGTTAACTGTTATTACTATTTTTTTAAATAATTATTACTAGTATTTCATTGTAGAATTTTATGTGTTATATAATAGAATGCGCTAATAAAAATTGTTTATTATACGCAGTAAATATATTTCTTTAATTTACATTTATGTGTAGGCAGGCTGTCTATATCACAATATGCCTGCCTTTTTTTTTTAATCCTTGCCTATATAGGCGCCTTTTTCTTCAAATTGTCTTGCCTTTAAATCCGAGCTTTAGCTGTGACATATCCAACTCGAGTTCTTCAATAGACTTACCTACTTGTATTTACTTGTATCGAATCATCCCTAGTCAGATCCTCAAGGAACTACCGAGGAAAGATCCAGCGAAACTTACTAACCTGACCAACGCATCACTTTGACTAAAAAATGTTCGCCAATTGTGGAAGGATGCTGAAGTTATCATGGTACCTAAGTGTAGCAAGCCACCCCACGGAGCATCATCGTATAGGCCACCTTTTAAAGAGAAAAACACCAATTATAGAAAGAAAAAACCTAATCCCGCCACATCAATTTGGGTTCCGGAGTCAGCACTTCACAATTGACCAGGTTCGTCGAATAACGAGTGTTATCCAGAAAACACTAGAAGAGAAAAAGTGGGTTCTACAATATTCTTGGACGTTGCCCAAGCCTTCGACAGGGTCTGGCATGAAGGTTGGGACACAAACTTCAACTGTTCCTACCTATCCAATATTCAACGGGGTTACTGTAATACATAACTGAAAGGTATTTCCGGATAAAGCAAGAGGATGAATGCCCGGAATTAAAGAAAATACAAGCAGGTGTGCCGCAAGGTAGTGTACTGGGACCTTTGCTTTATCTCCTGTAAACCAGTGACCTTCCTACTTCCGAACAAAATATGGCTGCCACATATGCAGATGATACTGGTATCATGGCAGTTGGAGACAACAATACCGAGTTCAGAGAAGAACTACAAACCACCATTGATAACATACAGCGCTGGACTAAAAAAAGGCGAATTAAATTGAATGAATCGAAATCTGTACACATTGAATTTACCAATTAGAAAGTTTAATACAAACCAGTTAATATGAAGAATCAAATTGTTCCATAAAAAAATACTGCTAAATATTTAGGCATGACGCTGAATGTTAAACTTAGATGGAAGGCACACGTCAAGAAAAACAAGAAGAATTAATTTTAAAATAGCGTAAAATGTATTGACTATTGGGTCGTAATCCTGCCGCCCGTCAGTGTATAATAAGCTCTTGCTCTATCAACAAGCCCACAAGCCGGTGTGGACTTATGGCAGCCAACTCTGGAGTTGTGCTAGCCAAAGAATGAACAGAAATGTTAAAATCAAGCGAATGTTTAATGTTATTGAACAATGTTTGACCTCTACAAACTCTTTAGGTATTTCTCTTTTATTTTTCCGAATCGTTCCGACAAGAGTCAGCTTATGGTCTCTCAGCAAATGCTCGACTAATGGCACAGAAGTAAACCAATTATCAGTGGGGAGGTTTCTTGATGTTCCGAAAATGGGGACTACCAAACGCACAACACTCATAGCCTCATTGCTTGTTTGGAAAGGACCGGCAGGTTGTTGCCCAACATATAATTCAAGATTCAAAGTATAAAACATTTTTGAATCGACCAACTAGAAAACTTTCAGCCCATACTTGTTTGGCTCAGAAGGTATACAGGGTGATTCAAAATTGGCGTCATTCCTTTTAAGGGTCAATAGAGGATCACTTGCGGAGTACGAGAAAAATATCAATAATTGCAAGAAGATATTAACAGTTGAAAATAGAGTTTCAACTTTGTTTTTAAGCATTATTTTCAAAGTGTTCCTATCAAGTATCTCTCTGTTTGTATCTATCAAGTACTATAATGTACTATAATTTTGTTCCTATATTGACTGTTTTAAACTTTCCAAATTCGAAACATAATCAGGCTTAGTGGGTATAGTAACGTTGCAAATTGGAACTATTATAAAATGCCAATTTTCCGTTTAAAGTTAAGCTTCTTTTAGTACTGTAGTGAATTTGAATCGTCCGAATCCCCTATAATCGGAACACCCGATTTGTGTGAAATTATGTTCATAATCTGATGCCTGAATTTTGATATCCGAACCATAGAGAAAATAAAACAAAAACGGTTCAGATTTATATTGAATAGAAAGAAAACACTGTTTTGCGTATAGTTTAAGTATGCAATAAATAGTACGGCATTCTATTTTAACCTTGCGGTAGTCGCGCCTGATGCTCTGACAGCACTGGTCGCGCAGAGGCTGTTAGACGCCGTATGCATAATATTTCTTTCTTTAGTTTGTTATTTTTGTTTTCATAGTAAATAGTCAAGAAAACCACAGTTATAAGCAAACAAAACTTTATTCGGTCAAAATACTCTAAATAAAATAAAAATGTCTTATTTGTACCTATCTAAAATTTATAAAATAAGAAAGTGGAGCTGTCGACAGCCCAAAGAAACAGAAAATTAAATCAAACCTCTTCAACATGAAAATTTGTTTCCATGATGGCATTTGTGCACGGAAAGAACAACATTTTCGCGTGCTTCAAACAAACAAAAGATTTACATTTCTGACAATAGAACCTAGGCTTATTTTTATTTTTACACCTCCAACAATATTTTCGAGTGCCTTCTGGTATCTCTTTTACGTCGGATATAGCCTCAGAGGTTCCTGCTAGATCTTGTCGCGTTTGACGGACGGTTTCCGGTTCATTTTTCTGATAAGAGCGTCTTTGCAGAGGTTTATCAATCAACGTCAGTGCTATTTGCTTTAGAAATATTCTCCGTTTCTAGTCGGATTTCGGATCAGGGTGAATAGAAACATGGACAACCTGACTGTTTCTCTCTGCAATGCTCTTTTGAACAGCATGAAAAAAAAATAACCATGGGCCAGCGTCTGGTAATTCGTGCAACATCATACAGTGAACAAAGCTGGTCGCCGTCTCCTTTCGTTCCATTATAGGAAGTTATAATCTCAGGTTTGTTTTTATCACCAGAAACGGGGTCAATAGAGTCGCCATTGTGCAAACTGGAAATAATGAGAACGTTCTTTCCTTTTTTGGAACATAGGAAATTATCGTGATGCGTTCACCAAATCCAAGCCGGCTTGATGTTATTGGACGATGTTTGACCTCTACAAACTCCTTAGGTATTTCCCTTTTATTTTTCCAAATCGTTCCGACAAGAGTCAGCTTATGGTCTCTCAGCAAATGCTCGACGAATGGCACAGAGGTAAACCAATTATCAGTGGTGAGGTTTCTTGATGTTCCGGAAATGCGTCATTGCTTGTTTGGAAAGGACCGCTAGGTTGTTGTCCAACATATAATTCAAGACTCAAAGTATAAAACATTTTTGAATCGACCAATGAGAAAACGTTTACCCCATACTTGTTTGGCTTAGAAGGTATATATTGTCTAAATCCGCATTCGTTTCGAAAATTAGATGTAAAGAAGTCAAAGACTTCTCAAATCGGCGCTAGTTTATCTGTTTTCTTTCTCTCTTCTCTGGTAGTACGATCGTCAACACCTAAATGCTTCAAGAGAAATAGAAATCGCTGCTTACTCATTGTGAGCCAGAACATTTCTACTCCGGTTCTTTTTCTGTCTCATATCTCGTCAATGCTCAACTCGGAGATTTTCAGTAAACCTGACAAGTATAGTAAACCAATAAGGGCTTTTATTTCAATTTCATCTGTTGCCGATAAAATGCAGTCCCTATCCCTTTTGTAATTCTGAGGAGTTTTTGTTGCTATGTAGAAATTTGTAAGCTCTACATTGATATCGAGTATTTCATCGTTGATGAAGAGATTCCAGCACCCCAAAGGACTTTTTGCCTGTTTAGCGATACCTTTTGTACCAGGAAGTTGACTTATTATATTTCAGGATCGAGTTATCACTGCGTGGTTTAGAGCATGCTTGTTCCATTTTGTGGCATTGTTTTTGCCCAATTAAAATCCAGCTCTTGAAATTTTAGCTGTTGTTCTAACGGGACTTCTGTCATCGTCAGAGGAGTCATCTTCTTGAACGGTATCACTTCCTTCAGATCTATATTCCACAACATCCTCATCTTGATCTGAATTAATTAGCGTCTCATCAGGGTCAACTTCTTCCCAGGGACGCATCAATCTTTGCTGCTCCTTTTCGTAGTCCACTTTCAACTAGAAATTAATAATTATAATGATGTGTCACAGCAGAAAATACGCTTACTTACCAGTAATCACTTGAAAAAAGTAAAACACAAGTAGTCGCGTGAACCCTAGGAGACTCGAGATGACATTTGACAGGTAACGAGTTGCACGACCATTCACCAACACTTGGAACATCGAACTACCTAACAAATCGGTAAGATACATATAGATGCGCTAAGCGGTGGGGGATCAAATGTGAGAAGAACCGAGAAAGTTCGGTACGCGGAGTCTGTTAGACCTACCGCGACTACTCCAGGGTTAAAAAATATAACTTTGGTTTGGCACTGGATTTCACACATCCTATATTAATTTATATTATTTTAAAATACACCAGACTTAAATATCTGCAACTCTCGTATGTAATATGTTTTCTTAAATGGCAAATTAGATGTGAAAATCCGGTGGCCAAACTCTAACCCGAACGTGTTCGAAATATAGATTTTATTTATTATGAATACTGTAATCCAGAAGTTTTGATAAACCGAACTGGCTCTGCAAACTTTGTATTCAGATCATCCAAACATTACTGTATTACAAATATTTTCATTAAAGCAAATGACATCATTAATTCAAATTACAACAAAAGTAATGTTATTAATTATTAAATAGGGTGTGAGGTTGAGTTGTAGATGTAGCACCTTTCATCAAGGACGGTCGCGCTCTACAGCATAGCAGGTTCAGCTCACTTATGGCTCCTTGTCCTCACGACGGTCAACTGCATCGACCTGCAGGCTAAACTAAGTGAGGATAGCCAGATATGGTATAAAATACTGTTGCTGGGTAGCAATCGAATAATTGCCGGAATAAGCAATCCATCCTTCTCAAGCAGCCATGGGTGGAGGAGCTAGGGTAAGGGCAACTTCTTGCCCAAGGAATGAGAAATCGTACCTAACAGAGGATGAGTCACTGACGGGTCAACGGCAAGTAGATGTCGAAGGTAACAGGAAACCACTATATTAAAGATCACAATGGATATCCCCAGGACAATCAGGTGTTCGCAAACTACCAGGAGGTGCGACGAATAACACGATCGGAACGTAGCGGATCATGCCAACAAAATGGGCCACATTTGACTATTCAGGAGCTGATGAGACGGATGTTAATCACAGAGGTGGAGTGGGAATCTTAGCAAGGGACACATTTGGTTGGACGTGGATCGGTTGTCGGAGTGATGGGGAAATACGTCCTTGGAGATAGGATTGAGAGGGAAGAAATTATTATAGAATTTTGCGCAGCAAAAGAGCTTGCCATAAAAAACACATTCTATGACCTACCACCAAGGAGATTATTCACGTAGAAATCGCCCCAGGATGGTGCGTATATAAATAGTATATATATAAATAGTATCAAAAGAGTGGCAGCCAACCCCGAAGCTAACATTGGGTCGGACCATAACCACCGATAATAGGCGATTTCAAGTTTAAGGGAAAATTGGTGACATGCCTATCCTAGACGAACAAATACGATATAGATGTACTCAGCAATACTACGGGACTAAGTACGGGACGAGCTAAGGGATGACCTGGAAAAGACCACCGCAAACAATGCGATGGTGGATGAGACCATAAAACAACAATGGAACAGACTTAAAGAAAACATACAAAAAGATTCGGAGAGAGTGCTGGGATATGAAAGGATACAGACCAAAAAGGAATGGATGACCAATGAGACCTTCGATATGATGGAGGGTGGAATATTGGCAAAAGGAAATATAGAGAAATATAATATGATTCACCGTTGCATTCGCCACAGGATTAGGGAGACGAAAAACAGGTGGCAATCAGAAGAAGGCTCAGAAGCTGAAGAAATGCATGCAAAACACGACAACTTTCACTTTTACAAAAAAAAAGTTAAAGGCGATAACCAACACTTTCCGGAAGACAAATGCTTCATGAATTACTAAAAACAACCAGATTCACAAAGACATCTGCAAAACATGGGAAGCAAACATAAAAAACTTGTTTGAAAACGTCCCTACTGTAGCTCAGCTACGTTTGTGTCATTGCTCTCGAGCAATGACACAAACAAAGCTTCTAGACCACCCATATTAGATTCAGTAGTTATAGAGGCACTCAAAACTAAAAACGAAAAAAGATCCGAAAAGGTTGTGTAAGCTTTTTAATTACACATATGACGGTGGCGAAGTCCCAAATGATTGGCTAACCTTTACCTTTGCCGCCAGCCCTAAAAAGCTAAACGCCAAAACATGCGAAAAACACCGCCTCAGCAGTCTCATGAGCCATGAGCTAAAAGCATTTCTGAAAATAATTCACAAAATAGTCTATAAGGGGTGTGAAGAAAAGTCAGGAGAGACTCAGTTTGGCTTTAGAAACGGCTTGGGTATGCGAAAAGCCCTACATTGCATGCAGCTGCCAGTACAGGAATGCTATGGCCAGAGAAATGTTGTGTTTATACATTCATGGAAAAAATTAGCGCACGACTTATATATTTTCGAATAAATTGTTTTCTCCTCAAGTAGGCTGGTTAATAACGTAACCATTGTACAGTACTAATTGTTTTTGGTTCCTTTCTACTCATTCCAAAGCAAGTTTCTACTTGTTTTGTGTCATTTGCACAACATCTCATCATTGTTTTCAGCCAGTGTGGTACTGTTTTTGATTACATTTTCTTGCGCTTTTCCTATCTTGTGTGTAACTAAACTATATTCGCATTGAAATGTCCCCACGAAGAAATTTAAGTGAGTTTGATGCGGCCAAAATTGTTACCTTCTTGGAAGAAGGGTGCTTCCAACGTGAGGTCGCCCGAACGTTAGGTGTTCATCTCGCCACTATTGGTCGATGTCGTCAGAGTTTTGCTCACGTTTGCTGCGTCAAGCACTTTTGCTAAATTCAACACCTAGCTACTACGACAGGAAGTACCGTCTGCGAGTGGTTAACCGTTATATATGGTCAATGTTGCTTTACGGAGCAGAAACTAGGTCACTTAAGGTTAAATCCTTGAACAGAATTGAGGTTTTGGAAATGTGGATCCTGAGACGACTCCTTATAATTTCCGGGATGAACCACATTCACATGCGGGAGTTTTAGAGCAAACACGCCCCGACAACTATCGGATATTGTAGTGTCAAGCAAAGGAAAACATCTTACCTAGGACACGTTCTGCGAGGTTCTAGGTATAGCTTACTAAAAACTATACTTTTGGGTAAAATCGGAAAAGGAGACTGGACCGAAAACAACGTATGTTATATACGTTGTTTTCGCAACATTTGGGTTTGATGTAACATCACAAATACCGCAACGATATTTGGAAGAGCCGAAGAAGGCACACTTCATGTTCAGTGAACACGTGTAAGCCAACGCGCTAGATAGCGTACGGCACCAGAAGAATTATTAAATTAAAACATCCTGAATTTTTCCGATAATTTGTTTTCTAAAAATGATAATATGGCTCATTCCCGAAGCATGTTTGGTGAAGAGGGATGTTAAGCGCAGCGAAACTGTAGGCACTTATAAAGTATACATTGATTTCTTATTATTTGGCTTGGTCTTGCAACTTGCAGCTTGTGGCAGTTAATTCGTAGACTAACAAAAGCTTATGTAATCGTATAAAACAAGCAAGCAAAAACCTAATTTAATTCCTGACTATGTTGTATACATTAGAAGCAAATTAGATCCCGAAATTCACGGCGCTGGCTTACTTGACATGGATATGGCATTGCTTTTGGGGTTTCCTGACCTAACGTGATTTCGTGTTCGTGACCCGAGTTTCATATCCTGCAGTGAATTTAGATAAAAATTTTCCAGCAAATTGCAAAACATTTTTGTACGTGGCTAATATTTCAAGCCATAATCATGGAAACCTTTTTTGTTTGGAAGAAACCGTAAGGTTAGTAATTTTACTCGAGTTAGTATTTTCCGAAGCTTAAAATTAATTTTAGCTTGCGATAATTTTATTATGTAAAATTTTATATTTTCAGTTACCGAGTGAAAAGGACGTTTGCAAATTATTTTTTAAACTTTAACACGAAAACGGAAAATGCAAAAAACGTAGCATCCAAATAAACACACGAGCTCTACATAACAAAACAAAAGTAATATTTTTGAAAAAAGGACACAACCTTATTGAATTAGAAAGAGCTTATGGTTACAATGGTCACCCGTGAACTCAAATTGATGTTTTCCACAATTTTTTCTATACGATGATCGACTCATAGCTTCTGTAATTATTTGTGGTAACGTAATCTGATCGGAAATTTGTTTAAAACTTAAAAAAATACTTCAGTTGTAATAGTACAGACTTTCATAATTCTGTGAGCGATTGTTATGTGTTTGGTTTCATGGTGATTTTGGATCAAGAAAGTCAGGTCGGCCATCCCGCCGTCTGTAAATGCATGTTACAAGAAAGCTTTCTTCATTATTTTGCATCATTCACTCAAATTAAATTTATTGACCATACACCAGTTACATTCTCCAATGTACTTATCAATTATTGCCGCTCTTTTACTTATTTTCTCAGTAATTTGTATGTGACCTTGGTTAGTAAATTGGTTCATATCCTATCAATATAGAAAATCAAAAGATATAAACTTTCGAGGCCATTCCTTGAAACTAGTGGGTTTTTCGAGCTTTTAGGCCGTCATAAAAAGGCATTTTTTTCCTGAGGTTTCGCACGCACGAGTGGCTTGCATTCTCACAGGTGGATTGATTGAACGCTTCTACATTATCAGAACAATGTAAAAAATACCAAAGAAACTTGTCTAAGTATGTACAATATGCATCTTAATTCACAATGTTCTCAAAAGTTTCCCATTAATTTTAATGCAGGAAATTAAAGTATCCAATTTAAGTGCTTTCTTGCACGTTTAAAGCATAGAATCATTGTTATAGAATCAAAATCTAAAAAATACATTTTTCGAAGGAATTAATTAAAGTAACTTGATAAAACAACAGTAAATCGAATTTTTAAAATATAAGGCGCTCGATTTCACACCGTCTAGTGGCAGGTGAGATGTGACTTCCTTTTTCTTATTAGAATTATGTGTGGAAGCCAGTTTTCTTTAGGGATGGCATGGAGAAAGAGATACCTGGAACGCAATCGGTATCTGGCAAACTGTAATTAGGAAAAATTTGAAAATTGGGCAGTGTGCCGAAATTTAACGCCAGGTATAAGGCTTAGCGTGGTCGGGAGTGTGATGTCAGGGGGACGAACCTGCTGGACTGGGTTGTGAGGGAAGGATTCAAGCTCGAGAACGAGAGGGGACCCCAACCCTTCGGTCCACTAGGGATCACAGCTG